GCTCTCAAAGCCTAAACCTTAAATCCGCTAGAAGCGCTCTGTTTTGGGGGTCCCAAGTTTGTGGGAATCTGCCAATTTGTAGATAGTTGCCATGGGCTTAGTCAGTGGGTCTTAAGTCACAGCCAGGACCCATTTACGAAACAGCTTGGGATTTAAGCGCTAAACCCTCAATTCTAAGCTCTAACTTGGAACGCCACCCTAAACCCTAAACCATTAGCTACCTGCACTTCGGCTGTGAGTCGGACCGAGCACTTGTGCAACTGAAGTTCTAGAGACCACGATTTGTGGCTGCTTGCCATTCATGCTTAGCTGGCCTTCTGCGGAGTGCTTGCAAACCCTAAGACCTACACCCAAAGGAGGACAATGTACCTTAGCCTCTGGCTTACTTGGGCTTGATTCTGCATTAACATATTCTTGCTGGTGGCTAGCAGGACTGAATCCTTGTAATATCCGTGCAGAATCCGAAAGAATCATCCACGCCACCATTCCCTTCTGACCACCTGGATGTAGGGGGCTAAGCACCCATTCCGCCTCGACAAAGTTGTCATGCCATTTCCATGCAGAGCCAGCTATGCAACGTTGAAGAATGGTGTGTAACAGAACATCCCATGAGGTCTGCCAATTTGTGACGTTTCACCTGACTTAGATGGGCTGGAGTATGCTCAGTGGTGAACAACTAGATCAACCCTAAATGGTAGTCTCCCTAAATAGGGGACCACAACATAGACTCCGAAATACCCTAATACTTAGCATAGGGACCCCAAAATGGTACCACTGCTTATGGGAAACCCCCAAACCCTACTTAGCCGCAATTGCACGCAACAATCTGCTAAGCAGTCCCGCTCTAACCGGCTACACCTACAGCCATCCTTCCTTACGCCGCCCTGCGTCACAAGTAGTTGGGAGTTTCTCGCACGTTCCCGGAGAGGTGTTATAGAATCCGAAGGACGTAGCCCTCATACACATTACTTGATACCCTAAGGGTCCAAGGACCCAAATAATAGGGCTTTAGGGCCCAAAGGGGCCCTAAACCTAAACCCTCTTATTTGGGTCCCGGGACCCTTAGGGATAGGGTCCCAAGGGGCATTTTCATTTTGAGAAACCTCCAGGCAGCACAAGCTGCAGCCCTTTTAAGTCCTCCCACAGCCCAGCCACCAAGGGGAATGCTGGTAGGCAGTCTGGCCTTGTTTTCAGGGTTTAGGGTTTTCAGGGTTTAGGGTTTTAGGGTTTAGGGTTTAGGGTTTAGGGTTTAGGATTTAGGGTTTAGGGTTTTAGGGTTTTAGGGTTTAGGATTAAGGGCTTCCCTAAACCCTAAGGGCTTGGGAAGTTTGAGGAATCCACACAGAGAACCCATAAGTCCCGCTAAAATCCCCAAAGACCAGCAGCTGAACTATCTGAGCGGCTGTAGCAAGAACAAAACGATTGCTATCAGTAGCAGAAGCAGCAGCATCCGTAAACCAACCAACATCATGGTGGTCGTTGTTCTCAACTATAACCCTGAACCCAGATCCCAGAACCCCTTTTGTAGTCGCCGTGCGCCATTCTGAGAAACCTTTTTGATTGGCCGACTAGCGTCCCATCATGACCCGAGCCGTTTCCGTAGTCAGCCAGGGAGCAATCCTGCAGAAGAAAAAAAGCCAACCGCTGCAAGTCTAGGTTTTTGAGTTTAGGTCTTCAGGTTTTTGGATCAGCATCTAGGGTGGCAGAACTTCTTCCGTTTGGGCAGGACCTCACATCTGTGCAGTCTGGCATGGATGGCTGCGAACGTCTTCTGGCCGCTTGCCGCAATGCAGGCGGAACGCTGCAGACAGCGCAAGTTGAACTCCTGCCCCTAGTCCTATAATACCTACAAGTTCCTTGATGAATTGCATAGCCACCTTATTGAACCTAGTAGAAAATCCCCATATCCTGTCACTGTGTCTGGCAGGTCTGACCATTGCGCATAGCAGGTCGCACCGCTATGGCTCCGTGGTGCGGGACGACCTCGTCTTTGCCTCAGCATTATCGAATACTAGGAATGTACTGCAGCAACCCCAACCTAAGCCCTAAACCCCTAAGACTTGGACCCTATTATAGGCATACGGTGGTTATGGGGTCCTTACCCGCGGGGTTGGGCGGCTAAAGCCCAGTTTTCATTATCAGGGGATCCTACCCTCTCTAGCGCTCCCAAAACAAAGCCTTAAAAAGCACCAGCTGGGCTTAACTCAAGAGAAAGGGCGGCTGTGGGGAGCATGGTATATAGACCTTCCACACTACCCCTCTACAAAATGATCCAAAGGAGGCCCACTTGAGGAGCATGTTGTGTTTAACCAGTTTTGACCTGGCCTCTGTCCAAAATTGCATTGTTAGCTTTGCGGGCAAAGGTGGGCACGCCCGATGAAGGCTACGAGCTTCACCCACGGATGCGAGCCCGTGAGGGCGAGATCGTGGTGAGCTGCTCAGAAGATTTGCCACTGAAGGACTTTAAGCAAGCCCGTAGCATGTGGTAGATGTCATGAACAAGGGGACCCCAAGATAGAATTCAAAATAGTATAATGCTTCCTGGACCCCCAAAATGGGCTCCCCCACCTGCCATGTCTCCAAGGGTTTGATGCGAAGCCAGGTGGACAAGTGGACTTATGGCGCCTTCGCATCCACGTGCGCCCCTGGGAAAGGACTTGGAGGGCAGCCCTAAACCCTAGACCCTAAAAGGTATTTGGAGCGTGAGCTCCGTGCCAGGGGAGTGAGACGCATCTTGCCAAGCGCCCAGAACTCTGATGCACTTGGTAGGAGCCCAGGCCTTGTCCCATACAAATGTACGCATGAGTCCACACTGCCATGCCAACAAATTAGTAGGCAAAGCCCATAAATCTGATCTGTACAAATCTGCACTGCGAAGAGTTCAACTCCAATACGCCCCAGCATGGGTAGTGATCTTGCTCAATTTGGCCTCGGCTAAGGCTTTGCGGCGTGCTGACAAACGTCTGCGTCTTTGCGACAGCCTCGCAGGTACTCTGAACTGCAAATCGTACGGCATGAGCTTCACGGTTTCTGATTCATGCGGCAAATCTCTAAAACTTACTGGGGTTTAGCTAGGGACAATTTTCCCATTTTCCCTGCTGGCCCCCAGGGAAAAAGCGCTGGCCAGGCGGTCGACCGGTTCATCCCAGTTTGCCTCGTGGAGGATGCTTGTCCACTGCTCAGACAAACAGTTGGGGTTTTCAGGGTCAAGGGTTGAGGTTTAGGGGTGCCTTGTGCTATCTTTGGTCATGTGGCTAAGCTGTCCCCAATTTTCCCTACAAAGCAGCACTGGTTGAGAGATTTCAACTCAAATTGCGCGTGCGCGGCAGGTGCTGCGTTCCAGACGGATTGGCACCAGAAGGCACTGGCCCTCATCAATGAGACACGACCTCAGTTTGCAGTGCTGGGAGAGGGCCAAGCTACTCTTGTTCGGATCATCGTTACAACGGCTATGGTTACAAGACCATGTTTACAGCGTCGTTTGTTTTGCTTCATGAATCTTTGCTGATGCTGCCACTCCCACGAGAATCATCAGTGATCCTATCAGCTATTTTCCTACTGCACAACCATTCGCCTTACTAGTGGTTGAGTGGGCAGTACATTATTGGAGGCTACGGAGGGGCTTCTATGTGTTTAGGGACCAGGTAGAAGAGCCTAAACCCTAATTCAACCCTAAGAAAAGCCAAGCTGAATGAACGAAGGGCGCTGAAGCTGAAGTGTACGAGGCCCCAAACCCAGCCGGGACACAAGCGGGGCTGCGGCCTGTACTTTGGAGAGGTCACACAGGCGTGAAGCGCGGTTGCAGGGTCTTGTAGCCGGACAGCCCAGTAGTTGAGGGTATTAAGAAATTTCATATTATGCTATATGCAACTATACCTAGCCTGGGGTTTGTGCTGGTTCCTTATCAAATTGCCATATGATATATATATATATATGTATACATATACTTCTACCGGGCCTTCAAAAGGACAACATGCATGTTAGGCTTTCAGGTGAGGCCAAGTCTTTGTTCCCTGTTTTGGAGCCGGCCGCAGGTTGACAAAGTGGAGGCGGCCCTGAAGAGCATGCAATAGCTTAGAAGCTAGGAGCTCTGCTGTTTCGGATGGTGCGCAACTGTCCGCATCCTGCTTCTTACTGGTGGCTAGTAGGGGCATGAAGGAATGGAGTTGAGGGGTTCTTTTGGGGAGGTAGGTGTGATCTAGAGACTGGTATATAAGGATCCATGCCTCCATCCCTACTACGCCAGTGAGGTTTTCTCTTGGTCAGCCGAAAGGGGTTACCCATAGGTGGGCGTGGCCGGCGCCACTCCGACACCACAATGGGGCCCAGGCGATTTGGTAACAGCCTACAACGGCATTTGAGCTACAAGTCTAAACTTCTTAAAGGGGTGTATGTAAGGGATTTTATGGTGGAGCTTTACAGGGGTTATTCAGGGGACTAGATAGAGGAGTTTAGACTATAGCTCATATCTAGCCCCTTCCAAGGGAAGAACAACTGCAGATACTCTGCAGATGAAAACTTAATTTCTCCCTCGCCGCTTTTCTTTTGATGGCACTGCGGGCCTGCAACAACTGCTTTCCCAGCCTGACATGACATCTGCCTGAAAGTTAGATGTTGCAGACTTCGCGCTTGTGTCCTCGACTGTGGCTTGGACAGCCGAAAAAGGTTCGCAACAACTGCGCTGTTCCGCGCCCAGAGACCAGACTCTTCTGGCAAGATGACTTACAGCCCCAATCACCTACAGCCTTACGAGTTTTACCCATATAAGTATGTTTGCATTATCTGCATAACGGAAGAGTGACTCCTCAGCCTCTAGGGAATGGGGTTTCAGACCCTAAGCCCTCAACCCTAGAACCCCAAACCCTAACGCCCTAAACTGCTCACTAAACACTAAAATCCTAAACTGCTCACTAAACCCTAAAACCCTAAACCCTACAACCCTAAACCCTTGTAATCCCTAAACCCTACTGTAAACCGCATGCAGCTGGCTGAGCTGGCAGGAGGCGGGCATCTTGACTTGGCTCCAGAAGCCTGAGCCAACACGGCAGGGGTTTGCCGGAGGCTTTGGTGCCAAGAGCCGAACAGGAGCATTTCAAAATGTGAGCCATAGTCTAAACTCCTTAAAGGGGGTTGTATAGGGGGTTATATAGGGGAGCATTACAGGGGTCATTAAGAGGGATACTACGAGTTCTGTGACATAGATGGATCATGACAAATCAAGGGAATCAATGGTTGTATAAGGTAGAAGTACTGTATTAAGGCCTTGCAATAACTGGTATTTGGCCAAGAGCAACAGGGAGCAGTACTCTTACTCGCTGCTTGTACTGCAGCAGGCATTGTGCTGCTTCTTCTTCGCCGGGAAATCTTGCTGTCACGCGGCCGGTTCGGCTGAAAGCTTCAGGAGTGCATGAGAGGCTTTGTATCTTGTTGGGGCTCAGTTTCAGTTCTGTAGCAGCATGGCGTGGTAATAGCATGGTAACAGCACAGAACGAACTTGGGGCTGCTATTCAGCTGATGATGACATTGGTGCCCTCTAGAGTGATTGAGTGGCGGCGACAAACATAAATCGGGGTTCTATTAATTGGGCGGAGGCCTCTTTTTTTTGGGGGGGAGGTATCTATAATTTCTAAGATTTTTGATGTTCCGGAGTCTATAATATTGGGCGCCTGTGTATGGGAACCTCCAAATATCTGACGGCTTCATCATTCTGCTGCCAAAGTGCCATGGCGACGTCACCGCAACCAAGCTGCGAAGCTCACGAGTCATCGCGGCCAACATGGGTGGCCCAGCGCAAACTACATATTACAGCATCGAGAACTGGATTGGGTCATTCCTCCTCCCAGTGTTTGTCCTTAAAGGGGCTTCAACTAAGGGGGCACTATAACTACAATTATCTCTTGTGGTAACTGTTGCTGTGAAGGGGAATGATCTTAAACATAGGGTTATTAACAATTAGGTGCAGCAAGCGTTGCAATAACAATGCTGCCACTTAATGCTGCTGTGACATTGGTAAAATGGGTGGCAACTATGGTATAGTATTCTGCTGGGGCCAGAATTCGTGGGCGAATTGATGTTGACTTGGCGCACACGTATCATGGGGAAAACACGTGTAGATCCCAAGTGGCACATCCGCATCTCAGCAGCTTTCCCGATGTGGTCCCCAAACCAAGGCTGACTACCAAGATCTTCGCATGTAAAACCCTCATGGACGGGGTAAAGGATACATATATATATATATATAGGGTTAATGAACGGAGCATCAACTTCAATGCACTCCCAGTGCACCATGAACCAGTTGGTGATGCCTGGGTGCAGGTGGATGTGTTTCGCTTGCTGCGACTGAAGCTTTCTGATGATTCATGCAGGAGACCAAACGTGTCAAGTTCCAGCTGCGGGCCGAGACTGCCTTCGGTGAATGCATGCTTTTGTGCCCAGGACACTTGTCACCGGTGAATTTATGTAGTGTTAACATAAATCATTGTTCTGGGGTTGCTTTTTGAAGTCGAAGTCCAACAGGACTGGTGCGGCGCATGCAGTTAGTCGAGATAGCAACGATGATTCCTTGAAGCATCTTCCCTGCAGGAGGCAGTCCTCACCATGCTATCTTCATGGAGTGCAAACCGGAGCTTTATCCGCTTTGGCACTGTCATGTGGACGCCGTGGATCTTGCAGTTTCGTCTTTCCAGTACTACTATGGAAAGCGGAGATGCGATGGAGAAGTCGTGTGGGAGCAGCAAGCACGGGTGCTCAACCCTCTGTTCCCAAGTCCAGTGCAAGATGACGGCATTTTCAAGGAAATGACCAGCCATTATTTTACAAGCTGGATGCCATCCTTTTTTGGTCAGCAGGGAGACAGTCTGGAGAAGAAGCTCAACGACAAATTGCTGGATAAGATTAAGCCGCTGGAGAGAACTGTGAACGACCTTGCAGCAAAGTGTTCAGAGCAGTCGGAAGCCTGGTGCCAGCAGCCTTCCCCCTTTTTTAAGATTGTAGATGTCAGGGTACACCTGAAATGTTATCGCTGACCCTAATCCCTAAACCCTTCACCCTAGCAGTCAGGAGACGATGAAGAAGCTGGAGGTCCAGCTTGTGGATGCCACCCAGAGCCTTCAGGTGCAAATTGAGGGTCTGGAGACGCGCATGACCTCGCAGGAGACGTGCTGGATGGGAATTTCTCAAAATGGTTGGCCCCTTGCAAAGCCCAGGGATGTAGTTGTGGGGATTACAAGGGGTACTAGGGGGGGGGGGCCCTAGAAGATTCTAATGTGCTGTTTTAAGAAATTTCTAGTAATTAACAAATAGGGCAATGTATCCCTACAGAAGCCGACAGATTTTTGGGAACCGTCCTGCATACTCGGCAGGAGAATCGGGCTGGCCGGGAGTTCAAACAGCTGCAGCGAAGCCTTGATTCCGTGCTCCTGCCAGATGGTTTGATGTCGAAGCTGGACCATGCAGTGGCGCAGATGAGGCTTCGGGTTCAGGGCTTTAGTTTCTCAAAACGACCCCGTTTAGGGGTTTGGGGTTTAGGTTCCCCCCCTTCGCAAAACAGTGAAGGCTACTAGGCAATAATGCAGAAACAAATGGAAAAGATCATGGAACATTAAATGGAAACTGGGCGTAGATGGGGGTGTATAGATGTTATGAGGGGACAGGGAGTTGCTGAAAAGTGCCCGTCTTGCTTGGAGGCCCCTTATTTGGGGGGTTTCCCAGAATTAGGGGTACCTGTCCCCAAAGATAAGGATTATTGCATTTTGGGGTCTACATTGGGGTCCCCCCCATTTAGGGCAACTGCCATTTCGAGAAATCTCCAGGTTACGTCAGGTCGAGCTGGAGGCAAGCATTGCCAAGGCTTTGGCGACGTCGCTCCCAGAAGTGGAGCCGACGACGGCTGACTCTGGGTCGCCGATAAGGAACTTAATAGGGTTTAGGGTGTAAAGTTAATTTAGCTTACCATAATAGGGATGTAGAGTAAATAATCTCAAAAAACATGGCTTCCTGGATACTGTAATGTCAACCAAGACCCTCCTGGTACCCTTAACTGGGATGTGTAACCTTGAAGGGTACTTGAGCCGCAATGGAGGGTAGGAGGAGGGTCTGGGCCTGATCCCTAAACCCATAAACGCCTAAACCCTAAACCCTGACGCCTATTC